TTGTTACTAGTTTTAAGGTTGGCATTTTAAGGAACTGAAAAATTGACAACATAAGTCAGTTATATGCCTCAAAAGACATCTGTATGCAATTTTAAAAACAATACATTTGATTTACTAGTTTATGAACACTTTTCTGAACTAAAGGTAAAATATAAAAGACCTCTTTTTCAGAAATAAGGGAACTCTTAAACATCTATAATACATGTATTATCCTTATCCTTATCCTGAATATTCAAATAATCACAATATGCTGACAGGCAACCACAGCAAAAGTATTGTTTATTCTTAAAAGTTTTAATAAATGTGTGTAAACATGTTTCCCTTTCCCACCCATTTTAAACACTTGTTTGATTACTTTCCTGCTTAAAGCCTAATTAAGAATGTCCCTCAGATTTACTCAATTGTGAGACTGCTTTCAAATTGCCTATTTTCTTAAGTGTAAAAGTTGAGCTTGTATTAGTTGAGCTTGTGAATATTTAATACTTTAACCGTGTAGTTTTAATTTCATTAGACTTTGAAAATAACAGGTACTAAATGTGTTAATTAATATATCATTATTTAGTAAATAAATACCATAATCATAATAATATATTTTAAATTAAACACTTTTTTCAAAGTGAATCTGAACAATATATAAATAATGTTAAAAGAAAGAAAACTAAATTGACTCTTCCGGGTTTTGAACCAACGACCCTCAGTTTCAATGCAGTTGACAGCATTTGTAGCCTGTTTTTATATATTTATAAGCGGATGTTATGTATAAGGATAGTCTTACTTTAAGTGGTGATACATGATTAATGATACTGTATACCAGAATGCATCGACATAGTAGTTTTCATACCTAGTTTGTTTCAGTTACCCTGGTTATATAAATAAGTGGCTGTCAAAATTTACAAGGAATGCCTAACTTTTATTTTAAGGATTATGTGTAGGAATGTGAAAGTCTGAACATAATACTAATATATTAGTAGTCTCTTACAATTCTACCCAAGAATGGTTTTGTGCATTGTATATACATATATATAAATTTTATGTATTGATATGATGAATTGTATAATGACGAGTCTTCAATGAAATATAAATGAATAAATGTTTAATGACCATGCTTGTCTTTTTAATCATGTTTAGTGATGAAATGAAACCATGATCAAGATAGTCACCTTTGACTTGCAGTTTTCTTTTAAATTTTTCTCCACTTTATGTTTACAATCTGAACAGTGCTGATGTATTCTATTTCCACAGACAATATATCCCTTAAAGACATCTGCTTTCTCTAGTTGTCTTGTTAAAATAACTGTATGAAGACTCCTGTGACCTCGAATCTCAATGGCGACACCTTAAGCAGTTGAATCATTGAAGTTCCAAATGCTCTCTAAATGGGCTATGATGGGTGGTTATTGTAAGGTTCCTTTCCATCAGACGTGGTATTAAATACATGTGTAGGCGGTCTGTCACACTATAAATAAGGGTACGCTGGACAACATTAAGCTTACTTAAATTGACTGTTATAATGTTTTTCATCTTCAAAAGACACAAATGCTGTAAAACAAAATTTGAATATTTCAGCAGTAAATAAATGTTAAAAATCAGCTTTCTATCAAAACAAAAACATTTCAATTATTTTGTTTACCTCTGTTGGTTTAGGTACAATGCTTCACAAAAAAAGTCTTTTTGTCATCACATTTGTATGTAAACATAAACAATGCTAGACACAAATGAGGTTGTTCTTAACAAAAACTTAACAACAACAAAAAAAAAAAACATAAAACAACAAAAAACGTATCTTTATTCCTAACATTCTAATGTAAGGTGATAATATTATATAATTGTGTAAATGAGCAAGTTATCTTCACATAACGGTAAAAGTTTCGGAATTTATTCACTATACTTTCACAAAATAGCATTTGATCCAAATGAACTTAGGGAAAAAATAGTAACAGATCGTTTCATTTCTTACAAACTGTGATCAGAGGAAGCGTAAAGTTGTTTTTTTTCTACAGAACAACACAACACATTTGTTTTTTATGTCACATTCTTAAATACATGGTGTTTTATATGTACAATGTTGTGTACAATGTTTACAAATATGTGAATGGCTAGCATATAAAATACTGTAATTTGTCCATTCGTATGACTTGACTCTAAAGATCCGAATAATTTCTAAAGTTGCTCTTGAGAAACAATATATCAAAATTGCAATTCAAACTAATACTGGCCATTTGACACATATTTGTTTACAGTTGCTTTAAAAAGTGAGCAGATACATTTAAGAAAACTGATTGGGCAAAACAAAAAATCCAATACCAGTATATGAGATTTATTACTGTTAACAGCAGACAAACGGATTCTTGTCTGTAACAAAGGAAGTGACGATATCCTGAAACTGTTAAGCAGGTTAAAACATATGACATTTTTGGACCATCGAGAGCAAATATTTATAACCTTTAAGCATAATGTGATAGAGAACATAAATTTACGCTATTTGCTCAATAGAAAAAAGAAATATGATAGGCTAATATTTTCTAAATATCAGTGTGAACTAAACTAGAATGATACATAGGGATATGTCGTAATTGAAAAAAGCTCTATCATCCGAGATACCGGTAATTAAATAAGTCGATTCACACGAATTAATGACATTGTATCGACTATTTATCAATATTTGTTGACATTATCCACATGCTTTATTATTCTCATTAGTTTTATTGAATTGCGAGTATCTTATTCACAGACTAAAAAGAACCTTTATCGCGACTGTCACAATTTCCTCACAGTTTTCATAACTTCTAAAAGATTTTATATTTCCCAACTTTGTGGTTAGAATCAACGTTCAGAAAAGTGCTTATTTCAAAGACCAATACACTCTTTTTCGTAGATTCTTTTTTCTTTTACATGTCTATCTTAAAAAGTTTCAAATATGTGGACAACCTCAACATCGACATTATGTCGTAACGCTTCTTAAATAGCCGCATGTCTAATAAAAAGAGAGTTTTATTCTTAAGGTTTTGATCCCATATCTTCATTTTTTGAAACTGATGAAAGGATGGAATTAATAGAAATGTTTGAAAAGACATTCAATCTTTATACTATTTTAATTATTGACCATGAACTTGTGTCATGTTTCTGCACAGGTTAGTTCCGTTCCAGAAAAGCTTTTAAAAAGTTTTAGATTTAGGTTTATTTGGTGGAAACAAATTCGGAAATATGTACCATTTTGTCCTGTTTACCGTGAAACCGTATGCTTTCCATGCAAAATGAGAAAACGAGAAATAAGTGAAAAGAGAAGGTTTTGGCTATAGTGGAAGAGGCAAAAGAGAATTTGAGTTTACTCATTTGAGCACAAATGACTTTTGAAATGTACATCGAGTAAAGCAACTTGTCTCTCATTATAGTACACACAACGTTTTATTGTTTAAAGGAACACGTACCATTTACATTGAATCAATTACAATCAAAACCAATAAAGGTATTCGGTGAGTCACAGGCAAATTTTTTTGAAGTTTGATCACTTAAGATATTGCTATTATCAAGTCAACTTATTGGAGTAGTTTTATGTCTTAACTCTCAACCTTCTGTAACTGAAAGTAATTAGCCTTTGCCGCCTTTACAGGACCAGGCCAGCTTCTGTTTAGTCTGACCTGGCTCTACCCTGTTGGTAGTTTAATTTTTGTACTCTGATTTTGAAGTCCCCTAATCTTTAACTGACTGTTCCAAATTCAAAGCAGGGGAATTCTTTTAAAGTCATTGATTGATGGTTAAGACCAATTTTACATGGACACTAAAATGCAAAATTGGGCAACAACTAACTATATTCTATGTCGTTTTATTATTTTAAATGAATCTGTTCTTTAGTTATCTTGCATATCTTTACGTTCTGAAATGGTCATTGATAGGTTCCGTACTGTCCACAAAGAATCGAAAAGTATAATTATTAGATGAAAATTAAGATATGAAACCATTTTAGCTGTAATTTTGGAAGTAATTTATTGACTCAATCACAAAGAGAGCGACCATCTTGAATGGTAATAATATTGTATTTTGTTAAGAAAAGACATTATGAATGCACAATTTATATCAACGTTACATGAATAATAATATCTAACTGACTATAACTTTATTTTTATGACTAGATTATCTTCAAACTAAAGGTTTTAACAACTTTTAAGACACGATCTTTAAAAGATAAATATTGTCCTTTATATTTACTCATAAATTATCTCCCGCTGATGCCTCAAACTAGATAAAATCACTTGTGTTCAATAAAAATAATCATGATTGCATGAAGCTGCCTTATTATTTCTTCTCTATTAAATTCAATTAAGTAAAAAAATGAATTCATTGTTGAACAAGGGAGTGCAACTATACATGTTTAAAGTTATATTGGTATACCAGCGCTTGTCTGCCTTGATTATATTGCAGACGATACAACTACAACATATTCTTTATTCTTTAACTTCACGATTATATTCACCCCTACATTGCACTATATCATATACCAAAGGCAAAATCTGTGAATAAGATTATTATTCTAGTAAAATCGTTCGTAATCAGTAAATTAGGTATTACCAGATGAGCCAAAATATTTCAAGAAATTCAATCTTTAGAAATATATATGAAGATCTTAAGAAAAGTAAAAATATTCAATATCTAATTAATTACTAGTATTTAAATGTTATGTGCGATTGATAACAATCACTGTATTTCTACTGCGTTACTAACGCAGTAAGAGGCATGTATGTATATTTTGACCTCTGGATTGTGAGTGCCGTTTGCAATGTGCAAATTTCTTTCTTTGTTCGCTTCATAATATTTTAATCTTAAATGCATTTTCAAAATTTTCATGAAAATTAGCATCAATTAGGAGGCATGCTTGCTTTAACATATGAAACACCTTTAGAAACATATTATTATGTCAACAATATAAAGTTAAGAGAAAGTAAAAAGGGAATGCACTCTTATTGAAACATATCATACCAACCATATTTACGTAAGAGTACATTCCCTTTTCACGTTCTTTTGAACTTCCGCGTTCCAAAGTCCAAAGGTTTTTAGCAGTGTTTAGATTACAAGGTGAGCAAATTTAGAATATTAAATCTAATATTCATCTAAGAATAAAATCATATATCGTACGTATGCAAACAAAAGCGACTTTAGTACATAATGTATTTTTCACATAGATCTAGACCACAACTTTTTGTTTTGTTTCAATTTTATTTTTTATTTTTCTAAATCATATACATATCGAGGTAAAAATAAAAGAAAATTAACAATATGCGAAATTTTGTTAATTGTGATACATGTTTGTAAATATGCTTTATAAATATCAAACAAGTAACGTGACAATGAATATTTTACTTACGTACACTGATAATCTTATCAGGTGACTAAATATTTACCAAACGACCAGAGGGTAAACAAGATTTCTACCTTTATTTTTATTTTCTTGTGTAGGAAATAAAAAGCACTCATGGTATCTTTGTTTGAAGGATAGTTACATGATATGCTCTCTTTAATTAAAATATAAATAACCGTTCAAAATTAAACATTATGTGTGACAGTCTATATACTCTTCACTATTGTATTTTTTACCTTTACCTCTAGACAACCGGGATATCGTTATTTGAAGTCAGTACCCATCGATTTACGATTTGATCACCTAAAACATTGAGTTGACAATTTGTGCACCATATTTCTACAGTATCGACCCAATTTGTTTTGTCTTAAACTGATTGCATGCTACTGATTAAGTATTATCTAATTGTTGTTATTTCTGAAAGTAAATACTTGTTGAAAACAAATAGCACCCTTTACAAATTTTTGTTTCATAAGATTTCATTTCAATAAAAATGATAGCAAATATCTCTCGGAAGACAGTGCCCAGGCCTTTCAAACAGATATTAATAGAATATATTGTATAAAATTTTATGTAAAAAATGACAAAGTTATTTATCTAATATGTATACTAATACGAAGAGTCTTAAAGTTATTACAAATAAACCTGATTTTTCATATACGTGTATAGACAATTTTAATTAGTTAGTGTTAATTTCATCTTCAAATTATGCACGAACGGAAGTCGACATGGCTTTCTTTTGGGTGACCCCCAATTATTTTCTCTTACTTTAAGATCATGATAGATTAAAATGAATTCGATATGCGATTACATTCTGCTTTATGTAACACTAGCATACGCCTTTAATTGAAATACAAGTAGAAAAACTAACATATAAAGTTTTAGAATTAAAGTATAAATTTATAATATTTTACTTATCAGGTCAAATATTTTTAAAAGGGTATTTCTGAAAATATGCCAGTAATTTGATTGCCCGTCAGAAATTGATACTAGTGTTTTAAATGTAAATGGATCGGTCGAATTCCATGTATTTAACATTATAATTGATATGATTTTGAAAAAAAAATTCTTCACATATCATATTTTTTCAGACAGGAATGGAGGTTCCTGGTAAATTAGGTCTAGGAGATCTCAATGATGATGACTCGAAATTAATATGTCTTCCATGTGACAGTGATGGTTTGAAGGAACGTGCTTATGGCTTCTGCCAGGACTGCCAGGAGCATCTATGTGAAACATGCTATAAACATCATAGACGCGCTCGTCCATTTAAAAACCATGTACTCATTGACAAAGAATCAATGCCAAAGACCCGGGTTAATGCACCTACAAAATCTGAGGATACGGCCGACTTTTGCACGAAACACCAAGATAAACCATTAGAATTCTATTGTAGGGATCACACATCTGTGGCTTGTTATGTGTGCGTTACATTAGAACACAAACAGTGTAATGTGGACTATATTCCTGATGTTTCTGGAAACCTGTCAGATGAGATGGCCGATATATTAGAACAAATGGAATCGTTGATAACGAAATGTAAATCGAACGTAGAATATGTTAGCAAAGCTGCGCAAAATCTAGACCAGAGTCATGCGAAAGTTGTTGAAGATATCAAAGCTTTCAGAAAAGAAATAAATGAATGTTTGGAAAGAATGGAAACCCAGATATTAAAAGAAGCTAATATAATTGTAAAAAATGAAAAATGTAAGCAGGAAACCGTAGAAGCTGCTTGCTTAGAGATAACTAAAGAGCTTGAATGTTCACATTCGTTGTTAAGGTCATTACAAGAACAGAACAAGCAAAATAAGCTTTTTATCGAAATTAAAAACGCCGGAAAAAGTCTGCCAATACTGACAGATAAGGAAAAGAACATACTGCATGCAAATACAACAAACATATGTATTAAATTTACCCGCAATGAAAGCCTTATAGATTTTCTGAATACTGAGAATAACTATGGAACATTGTCAACATTGGTACAATCATGCCCAGATAGAACAATAGATTTACAATATATGGATACAATAGACGTCAAATTGAAATCAGAAAAAGAAAAATGTAACATTACTGGTATGGTTATGATTGCTCCTACGAAAATGGTTGTTGCTGACAACATTAACCAAAATATAAAACTGATCGACGTTGAGAAAAATGAAGTTGTAACTGAGGTTAAGATGTCTTCAGGTCCCTTAGATGTTACAACTCTTCCAGAAAAAAAACCTTGCTGTAACTTTGATGAATGAAACGTTTCTTCAGATATTGTCTTATTCTGACGCGAAACTTTCATTAGATCAACGTATAGATGTGAAAGAAAAGTGCAATGGTGTTGCTTATGGCCAGGATAAATTGGTTGTCTCTTGCCGGGCATCAAAGAAAATAATCATTATGAATCTTCAAGGAGAAATTCTCCATGTTCTTGGTCCTCCTGCTTTATTCTACGGGCCTCTCAGAGTTTTGATCAGCAAAGATGAAACGTCTATATGTGTATCTCATACGGATTGGAGACAAAATAGCAAGGTTTTGAAAATAGATTGGAAAGGAAATGTTAAGACCGTTTTTCAAGAACCGAGATATAAATATCCTTACGGTCAACAACAATTAGAAGATGAGACTATACTTGTGTGCTACAGAGACAGTAACACTATTCTGAGACTGTCAAGCAGCTTAAAGAAATGTGATATTATTGGACTAGAGAAAGCAAACATTTATATCCCAAAAGCTGTAACATACTGTGACAGAGAACAAAAACTGTACATAAGTTGTTCATCAGAGGAAAACAAATTCCAGACTGATATTGTTAAAGTATTCCATGTAAAGTGGATATAAACATTACAAAAGAGTATGTCGTCATAAAAAAATCTCTTTATAGAATTAATATTTTCTTTTCTTCGTAAACTGAAACTTGATCGATAAATCAAAGGGCTGCAAGCTCTGCGGTATTTTCTTATCATTGCAATCTAAATCGTACTATATATATGTATGTATTTTCCTGTATAAGTTTATTTTTATATACTATAATTCATATTACAGGGCAACGAGATGCAGCGACTGATTTAGATTTTTTACTATAACAGTACATAGGAATATTGCATGATACAGTTACATCAAAAAATCATTTATGTTTATTTTTTTTTGACAGCCACACTTTATCCTTGCATATCGTGGCTACTTCCTTTAAAAAGACACTGAAAAAAAATAGTTGCCTCGATTGGGATTTGAACTTCAGAGCTCTCACATAGTCAGATTTATTTGTGTAATACGCTCTAAAGTATTCGGTAATCGACATCGCTAAAATTATCATTTTCATTGATTAAAATGATATTCATCCGCGTTATTTGTGATTGTGCATTTATTGACAATTCTATAGCCAACGCTACTTTTAAACTTAAAATGCGTTGTAATATGTTGGATACTTGTAACAAAATTAAAATATTTTTTCTTTTACATCGCTAGTTTAAAGCTGTTTTGAGAACTACTTGTTGTTAGGTTTGTCTTGAAATTATGTGCCAGAGATTGAATGTCAGCCTTTTATTTCCTGATCTGCGATCAGAAAATACAAAAATGACATTCATACAGTAAGACCTTGCAGTTTCAGGTTATGTTTAGTGGCGAACAATATAGTTTTCAGTCATTGAGCAATGAGATTTTTACTTGGCTCTAGCCAGTACACTTAAAATGTATCGGTATAAGATGAAATAGGGTAAAATTATTATTGATTAATTTTTTGTGTAACCATTTCAGTCGTTATCTAAATTATGATGATTATAGAGTAAATAAATTTATATTTACAAGGGCTTTGGATAAAGGAAATACTTGATGTACTTGGTATTTTATTGTCAGAGAATAAATAAATTCGCTAAGACTAAACATGTCAATAACCATTTTTACGCAAGAAATAAGAACAATTCACTGAAGTTATTGAAATATCAAACAGCTTACTGATGTGAATGGATATCTTCTAGATTAGCTTAATTGGGACATATAAAATTTTCAAACATTCTTATGCTGTTGAACACTATTGTAAAATTAATTTACCATTTCGTCATATATATTCTTCTAAGAGTAGTTGCAGTGTGACACCAATTAGGTCAGAGACTGGGAAATATAAAAAAAATCTTCCAAAAACATAAAAGCATGTCAGTTGTGTGATAATTGTGTTGAATCAGAGCTGCTCCATGTTATGCTAAAATGTCTAATGTATGTTAGAGAGAGACAAATAATGTTTGATTGACCTGTAATGTCAACTGTAATTTTAATGTGATAAATGATTCAGAATTTTTTTTTAAATGATATAGTTAAAAAAAGGTAATAAAAAAATAGGTATTAGAAAATTATTTTCTACAAAGTCCAAGTCAAATTTTTCAATAAGAAATGAATGCATATATTTTAATGATTACATATAATATGTACAAATATTTGCAGTACATATTATACATATTCTTTGATGTTTGAAAATTGTTTTATAAGCATAATTATATACATATATATAGTTTCACTTAAATGTTGATAAAATCGCTGACTTGAGATCAAAGGTCCCTCACCACTGTGGGTTCGATCCTCACTCGGGTCGAAATCTTTCATGTGAGGAAGCCATCCAGCTGGCTTACGGAAGGTCGGTGGTTCTACCCAGGTGCCTGCTCGTGCCTGAAGTAATGCCCGGAGGGGCACCTGGGGTCTTCCTCCACCAATAAAGCTGGAAAAAAATCGACGAAAAATCTCGGCGGGACGCTCTATGATGACCCGACTTGAGTGTACGGTCGCCCATATGGGCTTTCCGGCGGCGACCTTAAATAAACGCATAAAAAAATGTATACAACCTCAATTACAACATGCAGTATCCAACACTTATAAGTAAATATTGGATTGGACATAAACATAATAAAGGAACCATAAGAGAAACATTTTTATAGAATTAATGATTTCTGTTGTTCGTAAACTGTGTAAACTTTTTTATTTTATTCTTAATGGATAAAATATGACCGTTAATACAGTATAACAGTAGCAACAGGTTATGTTAGTGGGAAAAAAACAGTTTTCATGCAAAAATTCGGTCATTCATAGAGCAATGAGCTTTTTACTTGACTATGGCCAGTGTCAGGAGAAATGTCTGCCTTGATGTTATTTAATCTAAGGAAAGATTCAGTAATAAATACTGGAACCAATTTCCAAGATATGGGGGCTGGTAAGCACCGCCTGACATAAAAGTGAAATATTCTCAGTTGGAAAACTAGCACGTAATTGTTTAGTTAACACTATCTTTTTTTAGGTATTTTTATCCTTTTCTATCTCAAATCAATATATACCTGTAAACAACAAACTCTGATTATTATTTACACCCAAAACAATGAACTCTGATCATTATTTACACCCAAAACAAACACACATCATTTATCAACCACTTATACGTATTATCTTTTCACGTATACGTCTTTTATACGAAACAATACTAGACACCTGGCGAGCCCAAGCTCTAAACAACTTATGACCAAACAAAACAATAAAATCACCACAAAATGAAGAACACAAAAAATGAATATTTTTACAACTCTAAGATACAGTATAAACCACAAACATTCATCCAACAATATTAACTTCACACAATCTAATCAGCATCAGAAAACAACTTAAACTAAAGCACCCAATATTTACATTGTACATATATCCTCAAAACAAAGCAGCAACTAATATAATCTTGACCAAACAAACATTCAACCAATATCAACCAATTATATCGTCACAAACAGATATAACTCAACAACCAAAAACAACTAATTACAACCAATAAACCCTGATCAATTAAGATCACCACAATTATATTCAACCACTTAAACAAACCAACAAAACTCCCTACTAAACAACAATTGTATCATAGTTTGGGTACCTTTCTGTTGAAAAAGTGTCAGAGTTAAATCGTATACATATACATGCACAGTGCGGTAACTGGAGTGCGGGTATCAGTTACCCGCACTCCAGATAATGCCCGTGGATTGGTTCATTTTTGCCGGGGTTTACATATTGTGACGGCAGAGAAAGGGAAAGGGGCAGAACTATTATATTCAAATGCTCGTTCATTGGTTAATTTTTTCTGGGGTTTCATATTATGACAACAGGGAACGTGCTGTCATGTTTGACTATGATACAAAAGAGAAAGAACACCAAAACACTCGGCAATCTGATTTATACTCGGGGGCTACGCCCCCTCGTACAAATCAGATAGTCTCGTGTTTCGGTGCTCTTTCTATTACAAATTATCTTCTCAATAAAAAAATAACCCGCTACACATACAGCGTGTCTCTCCTAACTGATGTAAAATCTCTCTCTAAACGCGCATATTTGCTAGCATAAACGATCTGACATTTAAACATGTAGATAAATTTTACACTCCCAGCAACAGGTTTATAAATGAAACTGTACATTGAAATATGATACACTTCAGTGTCACAGGTGCTCGTCCAGTCTTGGTGCCCATATAAAAAAATGAAGTTTAAAAAAAAAAATTGAAAAAAAAAAATTTGAAAAAAAAACCCCATCAAAATAACTATTTTGGGTTGAGTGTAAGAAAAAAAAATTTGAAAAAAAAAAAAATCTTTTTTTCCTATATACCATTACTATGAAAAGGTCACCTAGTCGCCGTAACGCTACGGAGCTTTACTAGGACACACTGTGGAACAACCACAATGTCGAGTTCTGTAACAATACAAGCTATTTTGCTACTCTTTACACATCGTGCATTTAGAAAATTGTTAACATTCTTCATCTACCTTACATACAATCTTAAATAACTTACATTTTAACTCGGACACTCCAATTTGTTAAAATCTTGCAAAATTCCGTTGATGGTCGGCCATTTTGTCAAAAACGAAAGTACAAAACATACATCGTACTGTTCCGCTCTCCTGGTTTCCTACGACTAGTGTGAGGAACAGTAGACAACGGTAACCATCAATGGCCAAGGTCACATTGACCTTGTATGTTAAAACGGTTTCCGATCAATAACTAAAGAACGCTTAGGCCTAGGAACTTCAAACTCGGTATGGTGATTGGTCATGACCAGCAGATGACCCCTATTGATTTTGGGGTCAAGGGGTCAAAGGTCAAGGTCACATTGACCTTGTAGGTAAAAACGGTTTCCGGTCAATAACTAAAGAACCCTTAGGCCTAGGAACTTCAAACTTGGTATGGTGATTGGTCATGACCAGCAGATGACCCCTATTGATTATTTTGGGGTCAAGGGGTCAAAGGTCAAGGTCACATTGACCTTGTAGGTAAAAACTGTTTCCGATGAATAACTAAAGAACGTTAAGGCCTAGGAACTTCAAGCTTGGTATGGTGATTGGTCATGACCAGCAGATGACCTCTATTGATTTTGGAGTCAAGGGGTCAAAGGTCAAGGTCACATTGACCTTGTAGGTAAAAACGGTTTCTGATCAATAACTGAAGAACGCTTAGGCCTAGGAATTTCAAACTTGGTATGATGATTGGTCATGACCAGCATATGACCCCTATTGATTTTGGGATCAAAGGTCAAGGTCACATTGACCTTTTAGGTAAAAACCGTTTCAGATCAATAACTTAAAAAGGCTTAGGCCTTTTGTACTTCAAACTTGGTATGATGATTGGTCATGACCAGCAGATGACCCCTATTGATTTTGGGGTCAATGGGGTCAAAGGTCAAGGTCACATTGACCTTGTAGGTAAAAACGGTTTCCGGTCAATAACTAAAGAACCCTTAGGCCTAGGAACTTCAAACTTGGTATGATGATTGGTCATGACTAGTAGATGACCCCTATTGATTTTGGGGTCAAGAAGTCAATGTCATAGTGACCATGTACTTAATGACCGTTTCTAACCAATAACTCAACAACTCAAGTTGCCTTGGTTGATATTTTTATGTGCTTTTGGTATACACATTTGAAGGTCTTATGTAATATAACAACTTGGGTGTCATTAATGAGGCCTATGTGATTCATAAAATTTATGTATATATTATTTGGTAAGAATTTTAATAACTTTAATTGCTGCACACAACCTATGGGGTCACAATAATTATTACCTTGTGACTAGTCATGACCAGTAGATACTAGATAACCCTTATTAATTGCTTGTTCACTGGGTCAGAAGTCATGCATAATAACCTGATCACATGACAAATTGGCTGCCGATAGGGGGCATACATGTTTTACAAACATATCTTGTTTCTTAAAGAAATATGTATCATATAATTTTATTATTTCTTAAACACATCAAAATATTTCTTTAAATCATATTCTCCTGCAAAATTCATAATTTAGTCAAATAAGAGATAATGGTGATCAGTCTATGAAAACTACCACTTTCATTGGTCAATTTTTTAAATATTTCTAGAGTAACAACCAATCAGCCATTGAAGTTTTAGACTCCAAATATCTGGTTTTGTCTTACTTACATTGACTTTCCATTCTCTTTATTTTTGTCTCTTCATTTAAATGCAAGAAGAAAAAAAAATGAAAAAGTTACACATTTACTTAATATAAAAGAATAGATTTTCTCTAAATTATATAATTTTTTTTTGGTGACTATGATACATAATGGGAAAAAACCGCCTCCGTGGTCGAGTGGTTAGAGTCGATGACTTCTAATCCAGTTACCTCTCTGGCGTGGGTTCGAAACCCGGGAGATGCTTATGTAGTTTAGCGCGGAGGAAGGTAGTCTAAGTACTGGGTGTAACTCTCGAGGAACGATGGTTAGGAAACTACTCGCCTATATGACTGGAAATACTGTTGGGAAAAGGCTTAAAAATGAAACAAACAAACAAACAAACAAAATAAATGGGAAAAAAATGTTTAAATAGTTTATTAACAAATGATGATAAATGTATGAAAGGTTAATAAGTGAAATTCTTAAAATATGAGAACAATATTCATGGGATATAAATACTGCTCTAGCTATTATTATACAGGATCAAAAATAATGGAGATAAAATATGAATATTTGATTGATCAATATGGAAACAGGTGTTTTCTAATATACAAACATGTTAAGATCACTTTTAAACAAAACACATGAACAAAATTACATGTAAAATTAGCAAAAGACAACTTCACATGTTGTTAAAAATGTTTTTGTCTTACAATCTTGAAAAATAGTTTTCGTTCTTTGATTTTTTTGTTTTTTTTTTCCAATAAGTGCATTAAATGCAATATGTAAAAAAAAGGAAACAGATGCTCGGGCAGATTTAACTTAGTAAAGAATTTTAAAAAGCCTTATATTTTACACTTATGCTAAACTAAGCTATAAGT